TAATGCATCGCATAAACAGGAATTATAATATTCATTCCTTTTGGTATTTTAATACCTAGCTCTGGTAATTCGTATTCTTCAGTGCATTCTCTGACTAATCTAATTAAATAATAGAACGAAATAAATAAATGTTGTTTTAAAATTATAAAATTACTATTTCTTTAATAGTGAGAAATTTATTAAAATTAATTTTAAATATACATTTGGTAATATTAGTAACTATCACTTTGAATTATCATGAACTTAAGAAAACGTTGAATTATACGTAAGAGTAAAAATAAAACAAATTTTTCGATTAAAATCTCATAATACATGAAAGCGTGTTACATAATACATGGAAGCATAATACATAATTTTTGATACAAGAAAAAATTTGCGAAGCTAAAAGTTGTTGAATTGGTGTAAACAAACGTTATATTAAGTTATACACAAATTTGAAGTGTATGTATAATATCTTTTCGGATTTTCTTTAATTTATTACTTATTCACTTCAAACTCACTTAGGCGAAATTAGGATTATAATACAGAGCAAGTAGTTGCGTTGAAAGTTATATTCGGTTTGACTTTTTTCAGCGCAAATGATACAAATTTGTTGTAGGAAAATTAAATGTAAATAAGTTTACCAGTTATTTTTATAGAGAGCGTGTTTATTTTCCAACAATCTATAATATTGCTTTCTATNTGAAATATTTTTGTTATAACATCATTTATTCTAATAATTATTTAGAATTTTAAATTATAATCAAAATTATAGATAAGAAATGACTTTTTGCAACTGATGACAGATGCACAAGAAGTGGCTTTGGAAAATTACATTGAGAATATTTCTTCGCTTTCTGAAGAGAAAGGAAACAAATTGCCAAAAAGTAAGAGTTGAAATATTTATTTTAAGAGTTTATAAATGTAGTGTTTGCTTATTTATTTTCTTATATTGAATCATAATTATATTATGGCGTATAAAGTAACGCCGAAGTAATAATCAAATCATATTTACCCAGAAAATTTTCAAGTGAATAGCTAAGGCGTGGCGATTTTTCCGAATTTTGTGAAATAATGCTGTCTAGGGAAAATAAACTAATTTCTTAGATAGAACTTATTCAAAACAGACTTCTCGTTTTCCTTTTTGATGAACCCCTTAATAGACGATGCCACGTGCTTGCAATATCCGAAGAAGATAACATTTTATTTCGTTAGAATAAATAGGACTAGAAATTCACTTCTACCAAAAACTGTAACCGACTTAGGCGTGGAATGAAATCTGCCCAAAATTGTTACTGATATTAATAGAAATATTGAAGAAGTTTGAAAGCAATTGATAAACTAATACTTTTTTTTGTTAAAAAAGATAATGTTATAATGAATGATATTTTTTCGTTTGACATTCTTTAAATAGTTTTAATTTCATAGTGGGGAATTTTATTAATTTTTTTCGGTATTCAATAACATCTTAGAAGTTTCAAGTTAAAAATATTTGAAAGAGAGAATAGAAGAAAACGATGACTCGATTATTTAGCGACAGCCAAATACTCGGACACCATCTTTCCCAGAACATCGACTTACGAGACTTTTTGTATCAATAATATCGTAGCTTGCGATGTGCTTTGTGAATGTGAAACTTTTCGTATCTGGCAACTTATGATGAATTTTTTCGTAACTTACGATAAGAGGTGTTTGCCCAGTTATAGAAAGCTTATTAGCCAGAGGCCCTGAGTAACTATATATGAAGTTTCAATCTGAACCGGAAGTCATATCATTTCAATTCAAAATTTTCTCGAGAATAGAGTTAAACAGATGAAAATCGAGGTCAGATATGGAAAGCTTATTTTTAAATAAATATTAAAATATAATTAAAAATTGTAGCCCGGCATTACGACGATGTCACAATAAGTAATTGCTCGTTTTAAATAAAAACTTTATTGATAATTCATAAACAAATTTTCGAAATTACATTCAGTACTTATTGATTGAAAATTTCATTTCAAACTTACTTTATTGAATCATTTTTATTACAAGCATTGTAAAAAACATTAAATTAATTAATTTTCACATTGTTATCTGACATTATTATATCATTTTCTCCTTTTTAATTTGATCATAAGTTTTTTTGGTTGAAGTATGCCTTGTCCGATAAAATACTCTAAAGGCAACTAGAAGAAAAAACAAAATACAGGCATTATAATTTTTAATTTATAATTAAAAAACTATTATTATGAACTCAAAAGTTTGGTTTAGATTATGTTCAGAGTAACGTATTGTATATATATTTTTTATATAAACAGTATAAGAACATAAATAAACAAAGCTGCATTTAATAACAAATTAACTAATTTATTGAAGAAATTTACTATTATAATAATAATTAGTAGACCTACTCATTATCAATAAATCCTTGGACATCGGGATGAATCGAAACCCATTATCATAATTTGACTTTAGATTATTGTAAACGTAAATACATTAAAGTTTTAAGTTAGAAATGTTTCTGGCAGCATTTTGACCATCTTAATCAATTGAATAGTGTTCCATGTCATACTATTAGTTTTATATGAAGTGACATGCAATTATGATCATCTAATTCTACTTTTATGAAAAATAAAATAAAATTTTCGGTTAATATTTAAAAATTCTAACAAATACTATTCCTCAGAGATTACGTACATTAAGGATAAATAAATGGAAATAGTTTTTGTTTCATATTATTTTGTATATATCAGACCTTGCAAAAGTATAGTGCGATGTAATCTATTTTCAGTAGTCAAAAAGCACCAATAGAAAGAATAAAAATATGGTGGTTAGGGTTTCTCAAACGGGATCCCAGGATCCAGGTTGTTTTTTTAACCCGGGAAATATCCCGTGAAATCCCGCAAATTTCTTAAAAATTCACTTTCTTATTTTGTGTTAAGGTTGAGGAAATTTTACAAATAGAAAGTATAATTAACTCATAAACTGTTAGAATATATTTGTATTTATTAATTTTAAACCTACTTATTAAATTTTTTAAAAAAATTTTTGCTCGTTATGGCATGTCACAAATGGTCAATAATCAATACGTAGCTTATTTGTGGCAGGATTCTCAAAATTCTTTACCTGTAATATCTGGAATAATTGTGCTTATGCTGTCTTAATTTTTAATCATGTCCAGTAGATTCGATAACTGCATAACGCCACGTTGTGCAAATTGAGCAAAGATACAAACGGGTACGAAGTCTACAAGTATGAAGTTTATCTTCATAAACCTGACTATTAAAGACAAACGAACTGCCGAATTATTGGGCTATGATGTTTCTATTAAAACAGTCGAGGCAGACAAATCAAGAATACTAGAGAACAAAAGAAGTACTACAATTTCGAAAACGAAATAGAAATCTTTCAGGATACAGGTGAAAAAACGCATAATATTTCTCTTCTCTTAAATGCATTAAACACGATTCCACTCGCATCAATTGAATCGGAAAGGGGGTAACAAGACTTTTCATTACTAAAATAAGAATTAGATTGACTGATTGAAGTATTGACCATCTTTGCTTTTTAAAATCTTATAAAAATTTACAATATTTTGTATTATATTTTATTTAAAAAATGACAATTACCTTCTAAGTTAGAAGTTTAATCTAAGTTCTTTTTTTTTTAATTTTTAACTCAATTCAAAGCATTTTTTGTTGTTGTTGTATGTAGTTTCCAGCAAACTTTAATAAGTTTTTTGTATTTATGACAATTTCTATGTAATTCAAAAGTAATTTTTAACATATATCTTACACATAATTATTAATTAATATGATTTTGGAGGTTACAGAACGTATTAAATTACTTTAAAAAACGAAAAATAATTATATCATTTGATTTCATGATATTTTGTATATCTTAAAAATAATTAATTTTGTGCTCCACTTTTATCCCGGAATCCCGGGACAAGCAAAAGACCGGGAAATGAGAAACCCTAATGGTGGTAGAAGTTTATTAACTAACTGTTATAAAATTACGCTTCAAAACAGTTAGGCCTATATACATTTATTGCACAGTAATTGACATTTCAGGTTTCCTCTTTATGGTAAAGACACTAAGACTTTATCAATCAAAACGCAGCTTTTATATCTCTTATCATAGCAAAAAGTAATTTTATTTCCATTCATTGTCGAAGTCATAAGTTTTGTTTCTCTTTGGCACATTCATTTTGCATATGAATGAAATTGTTTAGGACATAATATATTAATTTAAAAATAACAGCACAATCTGAATATGCCAATTCAAATAAATAGCACGTTCCACTTTTTCGTGTTTCTCTTTGAGTATTTCACGTGTCTTTTCATTGTGCCGAAATCAGAAACAAAGATGACGCATGTACTAGGGTCCATTTTATTTATGTTGAGTTACCGATCCATAGCTATGGTTAAAAGGTATTTCCATGGAAAATATGGAATTCGCATGAAAATTACAC